CTCTATGCTGGCAGGTTGCGCGCACTTTCAAGATCGGCCACGACAAGGTCAGACGCATCAACAACCACTGGTGGGATCACCGCCAGTTGTACGAGATCACCGCCGTGGGGAGAGGCAAGACGGCAAAGAAGGATGATGGGCGACGCCGCCTCACCGAAGTACAAGAAGATCAACTTCGCGAGTTCATCAATGACGAGCACAAGGCCGGTCGTCAAGTCTTTCGCCGCACGGTGGCAGAATGGATGCACAGGACTTGCAACATGGAGCAGCCGTCCAACCGTTCGGCAGGAGGGCTGCTGAGTAGGCTCGGCTACAAGCGTCGTAGAGGCAGGATCAAAACGCCACCGTTAAACGCCGAAAGACTTGCTCGCATTCGTCGGTTTCTTGTTGAGATGGTCATGGCAAAGAGGGCAGAGGATGCTGGGTTAGCAGTGATCGTGTACATGGATGAGAGTTTTGTCCACCAGGCTCATGGTTCCCCCTATTCTTACTTTCCTTCGGACGAGGATGGAGTTGTGCAGGATGGGATTGGTCGCACAACGGGGAAGGGCTTGCGCATGATCATGGTGCATGCAATCACGAAGTGGGGGCCGTTGGCTAAGCTTTGTGATGGGTTACCGATCGAAGAGGGCTGGTTCAAGGAAACGGGTAGCGGCAAGAAGGAAATGGAAGATGAGGAGACAGCAGAGTTTCTGTGGCAGGCTAAGTTGGCAAAGGGCGATTACCACGCAGCAATGACCGACTCGATGTTCATGGAGTGGCTTGAACACCGCCTTAGCCCTGCGTACAACGCGATCCCGGAGTTCAAAGGCAAACGGATGATTCTTGTTCTTGACAACGCCTCATACCACCATGGATTTGACGCGGAAGTCAAAGTGCCGGAAACCAACACCAAGAAGCACAACGTCGATCTGTTGCGTATGTTTGGGGCCAAGTCGATCAGGGTTAGGCGTAAGGAGGGCGAACAGGGCGTTGTTGAGTACAACTTCGAGGTACCGACAGAGCCTGGTTCTTCATTCCCTGCAGGGAACAGGGAGGGCGGTGTAAGCAGAGCGGAGGTAGCAACGGCCACTCGGGAGTACATCCACCTCAATCACCCTGAAAGGCTCGAGGAACGGGTGGTGACGTTCATGAGGAAAAAGGGGTGGGCGTTGATTTGGACGCCGCCCTACATGCCGTCCTTTCAACCGATCGAGCTTTTTTGGCAGCATGGTAAGCAGTACGTCAGCCTTAACTTTGAGTTGAAGCGAAAGATGCGGGAGGTGTGGGTGCAGATTCGTAAAGGTTGGTACGGGGACAAGGAATGGCCAGGCCAGGAGGGGGGGTGGAAGGCAGCCGATTGTTCGAAGCTGGTTGACCACGCCATTGGAGAGATGAATAAGTGGGTCAAGGACCGTGATGGAGTGCTTTCTGGTACGATAGGCAGCCTCGAAAAGCCAGACGGGTACGATACAGATGATGTGCCGCCCGTGGGTGATGTCGAGGAAGGGGTAGGGGAGCAGATCCAGCAGGAAAGCGCAGAATGGGGTGATGGCAGCGACGAGGTTGAACCATGATGAGATTTTTTTCAGCCTTGTGATCAATTGCTACACCCATGCACTGGGTGTACCATGTTCCAACAGCACACATGTGTGATTGCTGTGCGCGGGGGGTTGCGTCCCTGCTTCCAGCTGCTGCAGTTGTTGAAAAAAAAAAATCAAAAATATTCAATTGTCGACAAGTCTTACCCCGGATGCAGCTTGCCACACGTCAACTGCATTCATGTTCTATCTTCTTGCGTATTGACCGCCTTCGTCATGGAAGCGTTTTGCGCTACTGTATGCCGACAGGCGCTTAAAAATGTTGAGTTGCAGGCCGAGAAGTGGGGATACCAATGTTGGCCGCATGTTGCTGGGCATTTTTTCCGATTTTGAATCTCTGCTCAGGTACACGACAAGCCATAATTCAAGAAATTTGTTTGTTTTTTTTTAATGTCTTTTTTTCATCGTGACCGCCTTTTCCCTGTCGTCAATTTGCGCTATCGTCTGCTGTGCTGCGCATCGTATTGCGAAAGTTACACTCCGAAACGCATATCTTTTAAATTGCTCCTATTAACTATGTGCCACCGTAATAGGAGAAGGAAACGACGTGCCGTCTCGAACATTGTAGGACCCCGCAGATGCACGCAGTTTCCTGGTTGGTCAACTTTTAGTTACCCAACAGTCGAAGGACTACCGCATCACCCCTCGCTCCGAACTTTCGTCGGAGGAATTCACACACACTTTCATCCGATCGCACCATTGTTTAGGATGGTTCCCCCAAACATTCCGAAAAATGCAAAGAACGTCGAAAAAAATGTCCCAACGTTCCGTTCGATTGTCTCTAGTCTACAGCTGGCAAAATACATTGCGGGTCCCCATGATCAACAACAACGAACAACAATCAAGGGAAAACGGATCGAACCAATTACTTGAGATACATTCTGTGGGGATAAATGGGCAAGTTTTTTTTTCGGGTTTAGGTGGTGCCAAATACACTTTTCTACCTTGAGAGAGAAGACTCCATACATTGTCCGTAAACCTTGGCGAACAACGTAAAACTCCCTTTTTTCAACTTTTCTTTTCCCCCCTCCCCCCGTAGCAGGACACTACAAGAGACTTGGGAATGCCCTCGGAGAATGAAGCTTTTGACCAANGAGGCGTGTGTGAACAAGCTGAAGTGCCACAAAGCAGCAGGAGCGGATGGGATAGTCAACGAGTTCATGAAGTTTGGGGGGAAGAGGATGATCCAGCTGATCCTACTGCTGTACGATTGGGTGTGGAAAAACGAGTATACGCCAAGTTAAAGGAGTGGTTGTGAACTTGTTTAAGAAAGGAGACAAGACTGACCCAGGAAACTACAGGGGGATCACACTGTTGAACACAGTAGGAAAAGTGTTCTGGAAGCTGCTGAACGATAGGATAGTGGGAGTATTGGAGAAGGAACAAAGCATTAGTGAGGGCCAGGCAGGTTTCCGAAAGAAGAGGGGGTGCGTATACCACGTATTCACGGTAGGGAGAATCATCCAAGGTAGAAAGAGGGCGGGAAAGCCGACG